TCAATGATTTTTTACACGTTCCACATCGTTCCACGCGAGACAAGAGTCGAATATTTGCTATATATTCGATTCGTGAAAATAATTTTGCAAAAGTATATTAAAATTAATATTTATTAATAATATATTATTTAAATAATAATTATTATTAATATTTATTAATTAATATTTATGGATTATTATTATTTTAAGCTAGCTTATATTATAATATATATTTCTATCATTGTTTGTTTATTATATTTTATTATATTCCTAACTTCAGTTGCCAATTTTTTTTATTCCTTTCGATTTTTGATACGTCGATTTTGTATGTCTTCTTACAGTCTTTTTCCTTTTATTTTGTTATCACCTTTCTCCTGAACATTTGCCACTCAGATATTTCGTTTAATTTCGTTTAAATATGTATTTTCCTTTTTACTCTATACTAATTAAACGCAATGTTAATTACTTTTATATATTGTATTTTTTTTTAACGAAATAACAAATTTTTAAAACGAACAACAAAGAGCAATATTGTTTTCTCTAATAAAAAATATTAAATATAAGCTCGAAAAAATAATTTTCTCCAATTAATTCTTATCACTCGAATCACTGTGGCGTCGCCCCGACGTTCTGTCAAAATTCCTTCGAAACGAACGCTTATCCTCGTTTCCACAATGGTTCGTCCAGATATATAATCGAGTCGAAGGGCGAGAGCGTTATCGGGGGCAAGTATTTGGACGGTATCGCGGCGGGTCGTAAAGGTAAATCCGGACGCGAGGGTAATCCGTTTCGGAAGATTGCAATTTCTCGCGGCGCGTTGGCACGCGATAAAGCGTTAGCCGACTCTCGCGGCAGTCTATTTCGCTCGGGAAAAAAGAAATTAATAAATAGATATATAAATATATAACAGTAAATTATTAAATGAATATATATTTATTTATATAAATATTATAATAGATTAAATATTAATTATTTAATATTAATTATTTTAATATTTATATATATAAATATAATTTAATGTAATTATTTAATAGTTATAAATAATTATATTAAATTAAATATATATTTATTTGTATAAATATTAAAATATTTATTATTTATAATTAATATTTTGATATTTATATATATAAATATAATTTAATTATTTAATAGTTATAAATAATTATATTAAATTAAATATATATTTATTTGTATAAATATTAAAATATTTATTATTTATAATTAAATGTGTTTAATATAATTATTTAATATAATATATTTAATATAAAT